TTCAATTAAGAAAAAAACCACCAGCCATGATGGCATACACCTATAATCCCAGCAACTTGGAGGATGAAGCAGGAGGTTTGCAAGTTTGAGACCAGCTTCAGCAACTTAGTGAGGCCCTAAGCAACTTAATGAGACCCTATCTCAAAATGAAAGGGTGTGGGATGTAGCTCAATGGTAAATCTTCACTGGGTTCAAGCCCTAGTACCAAAAGAGAAGAAAATTCTTGCCCTTCCAGGAGCTTCCATTCTAGATCTTATTTTACATCTGCAATTACATCATCTGCTTTAGCTTCACCCCATACATCCTCCCTGATTTCAGGAGAATGAAAAAAGTCTGTAGCCATACTCCATGCTACAGCCCCTCAAATGCCATGGCACAGCAGAACTCAGTGGAGAGTAGGAGGAATGGTGTCAAGGACTGCCAGCTTCCTAGTGGAGGGAGTGGTGCTCTTTGATGAGAAAGGAAAGGTAGAAGGAAAAGGAAGAAAGTGGGAAGGGTTAGAGGCCTGAAGAGGATAGGCAAATAGAACCAGGACCCTGGGCTGGAAGCTTCTTCAAGCACCATGGATGGTTGGTGCCTACTCAACCCTCACACCCTGACTCCTATTTCACCCATGTCACCAGGAACTTAGGTGCCTTCTGAATTGATCTGAGGATCATTGATAATAGAGGACTGAAACTTCCTTTCGGCCATTTTTTTTTCTTGATCTCCATAGCTTTCTTGTAGAAAACCCTGAAAATTGAGAAGGACTTGGGGCTAGAAGTCCCAGTTGTAGTCTAGCCCTGTAACTTGCCATCTTTGCCTCTTATCTCCTACTTCATTAGGTTCTCCAAAGGATTAAAGGATTAGGTTTCTGAAAAAGCTCCTGACCATTGTAGCTAAGTATTTTATGTCGGGGCCTACGCTTTGCCTAAAATCAGCATGAACAAATTATTGAGAAAAGAGGAAGGCTGGGATTCCCCTCCTCGTCTTTCTATGTCTCTGCCTATTTTTTGTCCCCACCCCATGCTTTGCTCATTTGTGTTCTTCCATCTCTTTCATCCCTGTAGTAGACCCTAAAGCAACCCCCCTGATGACTCCTTGGGTCCCAGGGAACATTTTGCAAAATATGTCTAGACAATGCTCTCTCAGAAAAATGTATTTCACACTCTGTGTTTGAAGCTCAGGCATTAAAAAAAAAAAATGTTTCCAGATGACTCATGTATAGCCAGGGCTAGAAACCACTGATCAAGAATAATCTTAACATAAAGGAAGTGCTTTCTTTGATGTGCAAAGGCACAAAATGCTTTTGGTACTTTCTTCCTGTCTGCTATTGGCAGATGTTTTTATGATGCAGTTATAGGCATTCTGCAGATGGTCTTGGAGATGGGTCAGGTTGGACCACAGGCCTTCCTGCCATGGATTGTAGCTCTCGGTAGGAATAGTCTAACACACTCATTGTTATGGTCTGGTTCTAGAATGTCCCCAAAACTCATATGTTGAAGGCTTGTGTTTTAGCTTTTTCATCTCTGTGACCAAAAGACCCAAGGAAAACAATGAGAGTAATAAAAATTTATTTGGCTCACAGTTTCAGAGGTCTCATGCCACAGAAAGCTGACTCTATCACTCTGGGCCCAAGGTGAAGCAGAATACCATGGCAGAGGAAAGCAGCTCAGGACATAACAATCAGGAAGGAGGGAGGGAGAGAGAAACAGAGAGAGAAAACTCTGCTTACCAGGGACAAAATATAAATCTCAAAGGCCTGTCCACAGTGACCTATCTTCTGCAGCCACACCCTACCTGCCTATAGTTACCATCCAGTTAATTCCCTATCAGTGGATTAATGCACTGATTAGGTTAACATTCTCATAATCCAATCATTTCACCTCTGAATATTCTTGTATTATATGAATTATATGTATATGAATTGTATATATGTATTATAAAATCTCACATATGAGATTTTGGGGAAGGTCTCATAATTAAATCATAAAAACTTGTTCACCAGCACAATAATGTTCAGAGGTAGGGCTTTTGGGGAAGTGATTGGATCGTGAGAGCTCTAATTTCACCAGTAAATCAATTCATTGATAGATGAATGGACTACTAGGAAGTGGTGGAAAATATAGAAAGTAGAACCCAGCTAGAGGGAGCTGGGATCTTGCCCTTGAGGACTCTGTCTTATTCCTGACTTCTTCCTTTCTCTATCTCTGCCTGGCTATCATGAGCTGATCATTGGTCTCCACCATGCCATTCTTCCATGTTGTTCTACCTCACCTCAGGCCTAGAGCAGTGAAGCCAGCTGACCATAGACTGAAACCATTGAACCATGAGCCAAGATAAATCTTTCTTCCTTTAACTTGTTTTTTCTCAGATATTTATCACAGCAATGAAATGTTGACTAACACACTCATCCTCAGACTTATGTGGGGTACACAGTCTTCCTTGTGGGTGCCATTTTAAATCATGCCATGTTTCCTAGAGGTCAGCAGGAATGAGGAAATCAGCTGCTTCTAATCAAATATTAATGCTCTGGGCCATAGCCATCCATTGTTTTACAACAAAGTAAAAAAGGGGAAACATTTCTCAGGGTAGCAAAGATGAGGACTATGAATTCTGCATTCATTAAATTAATGGTACCATTTAAAGAGCATTGGCAGTGGAAACTCATAATGCTTCTGCCCTGGCCATCCTGAACATCTGCATATCTCACAAAGCACACTTCCAGCCACAAGGGGTTAACATTTTATCCTAAATGCCAGGTCTCCTCCAGAATATAAGTATATTTCTGTTCCAGCATGTTTCAGCACAACCTAGATCAGTTTGAATTCTCTTTCTACTCTTTCCAACTTCTTCTTTGTCCTTCTAAGTAAGGAATGACTCACCCTTTCCTTGAAAATATGATAAATGGATTGTTTCATGCAAAGTCCACCTACCTAGATTTTCTTTGAAAATATAATAAATGGATTGTTTCATGCAAAGTTCACCTGCCTAGATGTTTTGAATACAGCTATCAAAGGCAACACAGCTTACTGGTATGTAGTAGGGGGAAATCCTTCCTATTACAATGGAATTTATGTGAGAACTGAAATAGGAACCTAGTCTTTGAACATCTAGCATTTACCATGGTGCTAAAAACAGAATGCGTACAATACTTGGCTCTTTGCACAATGTCGTTACTTTAATATCTGTTCTATCTTTTGTGATGTCTGAGGCAGTGCCCACGCCATTGGTGTGGGGACGGAAGACAGCATGAATACTCCCAAACTCTGGTCCACATACCTAATGATCCAGTTGTAAGTACTATTCTTGTACCACTCCCCCAAATTCCAGTACAATAGTACTGGAGCACAACTCTCATTCAGAGCACAACTCTGATTCAGGTTGGGAATACCTTCATGCCATTTTTAAATCCTCCAAAAACTAAGAATTCATAACAGTCTTTCCATAAAAAACAATATTAATTCTCTGGACATTCTTCTTTCTATTCATCTAAATCACTTGTGGTTGAGAGAACAGTTCTCTTCTTTGTCAAGGACAGCTGTCCCCTTGGGAATTGTTCCCATTTAGCCTCCTCACTACATCTTGCCACATCTGTTCACAGTTTCTATTCTTCTCAGTTTTTATGGTTATTAGTTGTCCCCAGACTCAGCCTCCTCCACTTCCTCCCAGTTTCTGGAATATAACATTCTTCTGTTGAATGATCTATTTCTCTAATCAGTTCCCTTCCCACTTAAATACACACTCCCAAGCACTTGTCCACAGACCTCCTCTTCTGCTTTTCTCCTTCAAGCATTTCGTCCACTTTCATAGTTTCACTGAGAATATCTAGGAGTCCCAAATCTATCTCACTCCCAGCCTTAGACCAGCATTTAAAACTTTTTATGTAACTTGTCCACTGTTTGACCAAATTCAAACTCCTCATCTTCCATGAATAAAAGCTCTTCCTCCTGTTTTCCCAGTCTTGACTAACAGCACATAGGCTACTTCTCTCACACATAACTGGACTTAGCGTGAACTTTCTCCACTACCGTTATCATTATTTTCCTTATTCATTGTTTTTTTTTTCAAACTAAGAATTCCTGCATTTTTCAAATTCATGGTATCTCTTCTGCATATATTCACAAAAAGACTGAAGCAAATAAAAGTGGCTTTGAAGGGTTCTTTTAAAACTTAAACAGAGCATCGAACTCTCATCATCTTCAACATACATGGCCCAGACAAGACCACTCAAATTCTTTCCCTGAGTTTATTTTCAAGTAGAATGAACTTAGAATCATAAAATCAGAATTATAGAACTCTAAAACTGTATGGCCAAGACTGTCATGGCTGCTGCCTTCTCACCTCCTAGAACCACCAGGTAGGGAAAACCTATCTGCAGTTGCTAAGAATAAAGCAGAGAAATGGATGGAGAGAAGATCCTGGAGGGACGTTATTGAGCCTAATTCCAAACACTTAAATTCCCGGAGCTTCTCTACTTTCAGTGAGTTTTTTCTTTCTATGAGCCCTATGGGCTCATAAGTCCCAATTTTACTTGTACCATTTTTAGTTGGATATCTGTCAGCAGCAACCAAAAGGATTTGAGAATATACCGTTCATATTCTGTTCACAAATGAATCCATTTTCCATAATATTATTTCTTCCCTCCTCAAAACTTCTTGCTCTTACTTTCCCAATACTATATTTTTTGTGTGTACAACCTAGAAAGTGTCTATTCACTGTCTCATACCTGAGCTTTCCTTCTTCAATGTTGTCATTCTCTCTTCCTCTTTTCTAGAAGTTGAAACTCTATATATCTATCTACTGCTCAAAATTCACCACTTACAGGACTCCTCAACTTCTGTGATCTGTACCTCTTTTGAACCACATTTACTATGGTGTAAGCTTCTCATTTGTTGAAAGTTATTTCCATCCATGTGTGTATCTGCCACTACTTCATCCCCCAGCACAAGACCTTGAAGACAAGTGCTTAATAAATTCTGATTCCTTAGTCTCAATAAGAGTATGTCCAGCCACCAATTTTTGTATAATATGCATTTCTTTTATTCTAACATGTATATTTTTCACAATTTAATATTGGCAAAATCAAGATTCATCTTATAATCATCAACATGCCATAAATTAATTAACATTTTTCCTCTCTTAATAGTACATAAAATATGAGTGCATCTTACATTTGATAACATTTTAGATTATGTAAAATATTGTTCCAGCCCTGATAACAATTGCATTTGATTCTCTGTCTTCCTACCTCTAGGGTAAATCATTCCACATTTTCAACATTTCCTTGGTTCCCTTTTCTATTCCTACTATTGTTGTTGTCTCTAGTTCACCTCCTTTAATTTCACTTTCTGAAATAGAATCAGACCACTATATTACAATCAGTCAGTGCTACCATTGCATCATGGTCCCACATGACAAAACAGTGTATATGATTCTAAATATGTTTGCTATAGAGTTAACTCCAGTTAAATGTATAAACTAGCAAAAATACTCTATTTGTTTTAAGTTGTGAACAGGCAACCATGTTACATGAACCATACTTTATGAAAACAGCATAGTTAGAAGCAAAATAGTGTTGAATTTAAATAAGACTTACAACCAAAGCAATATGACATATTAAATGATAATGTAATTATTATTTTTTGAGCAGCATTGTGGCCTGGGAGAGTCTCAAGATATGAAAGATTTCTAAACAAGTCCAGAGCCCCGTATCGTCCAATCATTTTTGTTTGCACATTTTCATTCTTCACTGATTTGTGAGGCTGGAAAATCCAGTGGTCTTGAGCAAGGCAAGTCCATGGTGGGGAAGTTGTCCTCATTAGCATCAGCATGATAGGGAGCTTGCCCTACAAACCCTATTCTCCACACTAGAGTCTTCAGTTCCAAACTTTCCTCCCTCCCTACATACCTTTGCTCAGGCCAATCCCTTCATCTAGAGTGCTAACAGAACTTTCTGCCATTGTGTAAATGTTCTACAGCTTTGGATTGTCCACTGCAGTAGCCACCAGTACTTATGGCTATGGAACAGAGCACTTAAAGTGTGATTAGTGCAACTGAGAAACTGAGTTTTCAGTTTCATTTAACTTTAATTTAGACTTAAACAGACATGTAGTTAATGGCTACCATATTAGACAGAATATATGTAGCATGTTTTTTGCCCCAGTTTTTCTCCTTCAAGGGGTATTCCAGGGGCTGCTTTCTCCATGAGGTCCCATCTTTCAGTCTTCCAAGAGGAATTAATTTTTTTCCTTTTCCAAGATTCTCAGCATCCATTGAACCATTATGTGTTAAGCACTTTTTATGATTTGAATGCATCTCTCCAAATTTCATTTGTTGGGAACTTGATCGCTAAATTAATATGCTAATGACATTTGGAAGTGGAGCCTTTGGGAGGTAGTCAAGATCAGATGAGGTCAAATGCATAGGCTTCAATGATAGCATTATGACTTTATAAGAAGAGAAAGAGAGACCCAAACCAGCACACCTGCTCTATCTTGCCAGGTGAGTCTCTTCCATGAAGAGCAAGAAGGCTCTTACCAGATGCTGACATGTTCTTGGACTTCCCAGGCTGCAGAAACGTGAGCCAAATAAACTTCAGAAATTACCCAGTATTTGGCATTTTGTTATAACATCAGAAAATGGACTAGGACAACACTTTTTTAAATTTACAGGTATTTATCTGCCATTTCCTTTGCTTATCTCCTCTTTGAGAGCTGTGACTACTCTTCTTAATTTGGACCCCATCATACCCAGTGCAGGGCTGCTGTAAAATGTTTATTGCTTGAATATATAGCAGTAGCATAGCAATTGACAATAACAGTAAGGAATTGGCAAGGATTGTCACGTAGTAAAAGATTAACCTTGTGTTTCAAAAAAATGTTTGCTCCTTGGATCCTAGCTCCCAAGAGATAGCCTCTAAACCCATAAAAATGTCCTGCTTCATAGTAGGGCCTTTGCCTGGGCCACAATAGGTAGTTTATGCTACTAATGTAGTTTATGATGGGACCATGGGCCACGAATGTTAGCCCAACCTCTAGAAAGGCTGGGGGCTAAAGTCAGCCATGCGGGTGATCAGTATATCTATGTGGTCCTTCTCCAATAAAAAAAACTGTGCACCTTGATGAGCTTGAGTGAGTTTCCTTGGTTGACACTATTCCATGCACATTGTCACACATCATTGATGGGAAAAATAAGTGAAATCCAAATAGCTCCAATAGATGAGGACAATTCAGAGTTCTGCACCTGTCTCTCCTAGACCCTCCCTTTCCCTTTGATGATTTTAGTCCATATTCATTTGCTGTTATTAATTGTGACCATGATGACATTGGTTTTTCTGAGTTCTGTGAGTCCTTCTAGAGAATTATTAAACCCTAAGATGGTGTTAGAAACCTACTGAACTTGCAGTCTCCCTAGATAAAATATGTCATTACGGTGCCGGGAGCTATCCCACCTGAGAGTTCAGCTCCTTGAGTCCTGCCCCATCACACAGCTTCTGGACCGGTGGGCAGAAAGTCACAGGAAGATCAAGGCTGGTGGCCTGATCATCCAAAATGATGAGTCTGTGTCTCAACATGAGCAAGAGACTGATGAGACAAGTGTCTGGGACCAGATTTATACAAGGAGTATATAAGGTGACAGAGTAGATGAATGACCCTGGGGAAGAAACGGAGAAATGGGAATAAATAGGGCAGCCACACAGTCAGTCCAAGTGAGGGTAGCCACAGGCCCCTGACTTAAAACTCCTAGAGGTCTTGGTATTCGTGTGCACCGCAGTCCTCAGAGCTAATCCCTACCCCCGACAGTCATGAACTGTGGAGCAGACTCCACAGGCCAGATTTGTTTTAAGACAGGGTGTGCCTTGTCTTTTGCTGATCATATTTCTACTCTTGACTAAACACTCAGACCCTAGCAAGAAGCTGGCAGGAGCAATGAGGAAGAAAGCAGAACAATGTCCTTCAGTGAGAAAGGAAACTTGGGGTGGGTGTTCCTTGTATCTCCCCCAACTTCTGACTCCCAGTGCTGTAATTTAAAGGAAGAGCCCTCTTAGCAAAGTCATATCCTTTATACCACCTAAAATTCCACTAGTTAGAGATCCACTCCAGTTTTCTAGCAATCTCCTGAAACAGGCTTCAGAGAAATGACCCACAACTTAGTACAGATTCAATAAATCAGATTGCTTTCCTAACTCCGGACTTAGCTGCATTAGAGGAAAGGTCACTAGCTTGTGGAAGTAAAGGAGAAATCACTCCAGAGTGTGAAGCTCTTCTGGTTAGAGTAGGTGGGATCACTGGGGTAGGGGACCAGACTTAGACACAGGGATTATAATTATCATCATTATTGACACTATTCTGCTGGAGAAGAAGGGAAAGAGCCCAGAAACAGAAGTAAGATGGTATCTGAAACTGGTTTCCACACAGACCCACACCCCTTCTCCCTAAAACCAAGTTGTACTCTCACTAGTTCTCAAGTGCCCATCCTTCTCCCAGTCATAGGCTCTACCACATGGAGATTCCAGGAGAGAAACATAGAGCTGGCTTCATGAGGATATCACTGGAGACAGAATTGCTTTTGTAGATAAACCTGGAGTAAAATCACCAGTAAACAAAATGGGTCTGTGGGGTAGGGTAAATAGGGTTGAGGGAGCAGAGGGGCAGAAGCACATTATGATGAGTGTCGAATAAGCACAGCTTAGAGAAGTTCAATGGGGAAAGAGACTTTGTTCATTTCCACAGTTCCTGGCACAGGGTGGGACCTTAATATTTAATGAAAGGTTGAATGGATGGGTGGATGTATTACAAAATCACATGTGTTACCAGAGTGACATGGGCAAAATCACTTCCTATCTAGGATCTGAGTTAGTTAGCTAGTTTGTTTGCTTATTTTCCTTTCTAGGCACTTAATCCAGTTGTATGGGTTCACAAATATTTTGTTCCCTATTTCCTGTCTCCTACTTAAAACACTCGTAAGCCTGCCTGTCATTTTCCCTACCCTTTCACAGCTGAATTCTAGGTTTATGAGGGTCTTGGAACATCTTGGAGGCATTAGAATCTCTCTCTCTCTCTCTCTCTCTCTCTCTCTCTCTCTCTTTTAACAGGAGGGGATTTCTTGTGAACAAGTTCTCATGCAAGAGCAGAAGACAGTTCTGTTCAGAAAGGTGTAAAGAGTGACACAGACACAGTGCAAACAAGGAGTAAACCCACGAGGTCAGGGTGAGGGCAGCCAGAAGGCCCCCGGGCTCTTCTGAGAAGGGGGTGCTGCTCATGGTGGTCCAGGAGCTTCTGCTCTATGTGTGTGTCCACCAATGGATGTCCATGCCTTACATAGGCATGGCCTTGGAGCCCCTAGGAAAACACTGACCAATAAATTAAATTGAAAAATATGTAGGAGGCAGGGAATATCAACCTGGAGTATTTGTCAATGGCATGGGTGTTCTGGAAGAGGCGGAGCCCCACCTGGCCCTTGAGAAGCCCCCTTTTCCTGGAGGAGCTAGACTCACTGCCCAGGGCCAGGTGGACCACTATTTTATCTTGCTTTTCTTCTTCTGTCAGAATATGGTTTCTTGGGTACCCAGCCAGGCTGTTGGCCTCAGACTCACTGCAGCTTCCATCCAGCATCATGGTTTTGGAATGAGGCATTCCACACATGCATGGGACCTAAGGGCAGCAAGCACAAAGGACTTGGTTAGTCCTTGAGAGCTGGGCAGAGATGGCCAGGCTTGAAAGCAAAGCCCCAGTGCTACTCAGAACCACAGAAAGAACTAGAAGGATCTCCAGAGAGCATTTAGTCCAATGATTTTCTATCCTGGCTGCATATCAGAATCACCCAGGCCAAACCCAGGCCCCATTCCAAACTAATTAATTTAAAACTCCTGGTAATTCTGTTGTGCTGCCAGAATTGAGAATAACGATATAGCCCAATTGTAAAAGCAAAATCCCAAACCCAGAGAGGTATACAATTGTCCTGAGCTTCCACAGGTAGTTTCAGAGCCAGGAATTTAAACCCATAGATTCTGATTCCAGTTTTTTTTTTTTTAGTACTGGGGATTGAACTCAGGGATACTTGACCACTGAGCCACATCCCCAGCCCTATTTTGTATTTTATTTAGTGACAGGGTCTCACTGAGTTGCTTAGCGCCTTGCTTTTTGTTGAGGTTGGCTTTGAACTTGAAATCCTCCTGCCTCAGCCTCCTGAGCTGCTGGGTTTATAGGTGAGTGCCACTGCACCCAGCAAGATTCCATCTTTTTGTACATGAATCAAAAGATGATTAGAGGGCTGCAATTGTGGCTCTGGGGTTGTGGGTAGAGTGCTTGCCTAGCACATGTGAGGCACTGGGTTTGATCCTTAGCACCACATGAAAATTAATAAATAAAATATTATGTCAATCTACAACTAAAAAAAATTTTTAAAAGATGATTAGGTAGAAAAGTGTCTGTCCTTACTCCAAATAGTTAACATTTAAGAGTAAAGAGTCATGATGCACCAACAAAAATATGTTTAAATGGGGAAAGAGCGCTCACAAAAATAGCAAATTAATGACGTTAGATCTGGTTGTGGAGTATATAAATGTAGACTATTTTATTCTTTAAATTATTTCTGCAAGTATGAAAATGTTTATAAGGAATTCTAAGTTGGAGGGAGGACATGGTTTCTCTTGTTTTCTCCTCACAGCTGGAGTCAGTAGTGAGCAGGCTCCAGTAGGCATCTGGGCTGGTCTGTGTTGGCCAAAAGCATGAGGCCTACTAGATACAGCCAACTGGCCATGGGCTTATTTTTCTCCGTCTATTGACTTTAATTATATTTCTGATCTGGCTCTCAGCCCTTTATTGCCTCTGTCTTTACCACCTGGGAAAGTGAAATAATGACATTTCACAACCTGCCTCCTACTATTATAGGTCTTGAAATGCTCAGGTGAATGTCATGACGCTTTCAAATGCAAAAATAGATGAATGATTTCTTGCAAAATTAGATTACTTGAACTATTCTTATGCTTGAAGAGATACCTTCCTGAACAATTAACAGACTCATAGGATCAAAAGGTCAGTAAGCGATCATCTATCCAACTGTGCGCACTTAGGTATAACCACACCAAATCCTTAATAAACTTGTGAGGTATTGTCATGGGGGTCTATTTAGGTACTTTCTTAATAAAAGCACAGGCTTTTACTTTGCTCAAACTGAAATTCTTTCTGCCAAAATGAAAACACTTTTCTCCTAGGGTTTAGAGTTAGAATAGGAAATGCCAAAAATTATGAGAAATTCCCGTTTTTCATATCAGCTTGTTCCTCAGAAAGGGCAAGTGGCCCTTAGCCTATTAGGTCTGGATAATCAGCCTGCATACTGCAGCCACTGAGGCGAGGCCATCCCTGTGCCTCCTGCATGCTCCAAAGCAGCAGTGGCTCCACATTGGAACCAGGGGTGAGCCTATCAGGCTCCAGGCAGGAAGGCTTTGACCTTTATGCAGAAAAAGTCAGACTCCAGCTTGTTATAAGTGCAGATCCATGATGCCATCCTCAGAGACTCTGAATCAGAAAGTTTTGGGGTTTGGCCCTGGAATCTTTTTATTTATTTGTTGGTTTGTTTGCTTTGCAGTATTGGGGATAGAATCCAGGGCCTCATGCATGCTAGGCAAGCACTCTACCACTGAGCTACACCCCCAGTCAGGAATTTTTATTTTTAACAGACATGGGAGGTGATTCCAGGGCAGGTCCTTCTTGGCTCAGATTTGGGAACCTGGGCTTCTCTGGGAGTCCGTTTAATGATCATGAAGTGTGCTTGCTCTGTGGAGCAGCAGAAGAGAGATTTACTGTCTTCCCACCACTGCCTGCCCTGCAGCTACTACCTTTCCATCTTTAATTCACACACTGACCCCAGTGGAGCAGAAATTGTCATACTTTCCCATCCCACATCTGTTCTCACACAAACAGACAGATGTAAGGGCCCAATGACCTTTCCCTATTACTCTGTAAACAGAGTCTTATAAAAATCACTGGCAAGGATCATGACCTCATAGTATTAATGAACTGCCTGGATGGACGTGTGGTTAATGGTTCATGAGCCTGTATTTGTCAGATGAAAGCTTTGCTATTTTTTGAACAGGTAAGTCTAATGGATTATAAATCAAAAGCATTTAAATATAATCCAAAGGCATTTGATAACAATGCGAAAATAATTGAAAACTCAAACAAGTATGCAAATACTGATGTAAAAAATTTGAATTAAAAACAAATTCTTAATATATTTAAAGACAATGTGAAAAATTTGATGGGTATTATGTGTGTATTGAAAGGCTATTTTTTTTAATTCTTTTATTAGTTGCTCAAAACATTACAATGATCTTGACATATCATACTTGAAAGGCTATTTTTTAAAAGCAAACATTTCTTTTTTTAAAATTTAAAGCTCCCTTGTGCTAAGGGACAAAGTCACCCAGATGTGCACAAATGTGTGATTTTTCATGTTCTCCGATCTCTATAGCTTTTAGGTGATTGACATTTTGATTAGTGCAGTGATTAGTAATGACTTGGTAATAAGTCAGCATTTTATTTCTTACTGTGATTAACAAGCATTAGAATATGAATGAAATAGACTTTTCTTTCTGTACCAAAGGCCCATGAATATTGCTTTGTAAGATTTCCCATTTGCCTTCTACCTCACAGTGTGGTGTGGTATATAGTGCAGTGTAGACCCTGTAGTATTTCCAGTGAGGCTAATGGCTAAAATATTAGCCTTTATGTTTACTGTGCCTAAATTTTCCCAGGGTCAAAACACCTATCAACAAAGCAGCTTTAGGGCTGGGGTTGTGGTTCAGTGGTAGAGCACTTGCCTAGCATGTGTGAGGTACTATGTTCGATCCTTAGCATCACATATAAATAAATAAAAATAAAGGCCCATCAACAACTAAACAAAATTAAAAAAAAAAATAAAGCAGCTTAATGTTCTAGAATTCTCCCCTTCTCTGGTCACAGAACCAGGAAGTATTTTTCCTGACATGTTCAATAACATTGGTGATATTTTGTGTGTCTAGGACCCTACAGTTTCAAAATAACTTTTAGATATTGTCTTATGTGACTCTTACAACAGTCCTGGGAGGAAGGTAGAAGTGGGTTCTGTAATCCCCTTTTTACAGATGAGGAAACAGGCCAGGCTCAGGTGGCAGAATTGTGCCTAAATCCAAGTTTTCTTTTTCCTAGTTTTTGATCAAAAACTGTTCTCTGGGATCCTTTGTTGTAGAAGCTAGAACCTATTCTAACACAGGACCCTCTTCCTTGGGTATAAGCACCTCCTTTTTCTACATACAACACCCCCACACTACTCTTGGCCAATCACCTTCTCACTCTCATCCAACCAGAAGCAGCAGCTATAAGGAAATGAAGGGGCCACCCTCACCTTCTCCCGCAGCTTCCGTTCCTTCCACTCCTGCACCGTGGTCAGGTAGTTGACCGCTGCATACTCCAGCACCGAGAGGAACACGAACACAAAGCTGACCCAGAGGTAGATGTCCACCGCCTTGATGTAGGACACGCGGGGCATGGAGGCGTTCACGCCCGTGATGATGGTGGACATGGTCAGCACCGTCGTGATGCCTGCAAAACCCAGACCCGTCAGCAGGCACAAGGCTCAGTGCTTCAGAGTTACAGTTTTACATTCTCTTACTCTTAGATGGAATGAGAAATTCCCTGGACATGTTTTTACCTTGTGGGGGTGGGATGATCTGCTCCCCAAGCAGCTAGGCACCCCAACCCCTTCCCCAGCACACCTCCACCCAGCCCCTTCTCCAAGTCCCCTCCACTAGCTTGGGAAAGTGGATTTCTATGACATAGCTGACAAGTGATTAGGAAAGGACCTATTCTGCTGTGGAACTGACAACAATGACTGGAGGACACTTTTAAAGGAACTTTCCCAACCCTGAAAGAATGGGCATACTCTCCCTCATCTGAGTCCACTTATTAAGCCCAACTGTGGAAATGCTTGGAAGCCTACCATGCTAGTTTTTTCTCCATTGTGCTTTGCTGGTTAAACCCTCCATTCCTCTGGGTCCAACCTGATTTTGTCCACACTGGGATGATGGGTTGTAAACTCTGACTGTGGAATTTAGTGTCTGGGAAGGGGTACAACCAAGGCCCCAGGAATGCAGCTCTTCCTTTTCCCTAAATTATATGATATGATCCCTGCCTCAAAGCCCCATCTAAACAAGACCAGCAAAAGAAACTTTTGTATTTATAGAATAACTTTGGCATTTGCAGAATCATTTTATTCATCTAAATATTGAGCTCCAATACAGCCAGTTGTGGAAGTCTATGCCCCAGACAGGCTATATCCTTCTGAATTGGTGCAACCCAAGTTGATATAGTTCTAGCTCCCTGTGGTTTTCATAATGTTGTAGAGGAAACGGAGGCTTCATCTAAGAGGCAGGTGGAATGGTTGCTTCTTCTGATTCCAAGAGGTAAAAACCTCTGAATTGGTTTTAAAACCTCTGAATATGGTTTTACTTTTCCTTTGCCTAGTGATCTTAAAAAAAAAAAAAAAAATAGCCACCCGACCACACCGTATCAAATGCTTTTACCTAGTGAAACTCTGGCGGGCACAGCTTTGTGGTCAATCCAGAAGGACACCCAGGACAGCATGACCATCAGGGTGGCAGGGAAATAGGTTTGGAGCAGGAAGAAGAAGATGTGTCGATGCAACGTGAAGTTAATGTATAGTCGGTTGTACCAGCCTGGGGAATACAGAAGTCAGTGAGATTTTGAGTACTTTCCTTTCCACAATCTAAGCCCTTTCTCCTATGAATAAGATCTTGACAATATTATCTAACTTCATAGCTGTTTGGAGAAAGGTAGAGCAAAACAGATATGTGTTAGTTGTTGGTTTGGTATGTGTTATTTGCAGACCACAACCATATTTGCTGAGTGATTGGCTGCTCAGGAGCATGAGAAGTTGGAGTGGTTCTATACCACCAAGGCAGGAGCCAGGACAGCTGGGCGCTCATCACTGTCCTCTTTATTGAGAGATGAGTCATTCGTTCCACCCCATCACAAGAAGAAATAGGCCACCAGTTCTACAGTCTGACATGAGTTCTACTCCTGACATCCACCCTCCTTATGGAAACTTGTTACCTCATGGGCCATTGCTCAGAAAAAAAATGGCAGCATGCATCTATTTCATTATGGAAATATGAGAATCACTGATTAATGGTTTTAAAAAGTGATTGACATTGTTAGACTTCAAATGACCCATAATCACTGAGACCCAAAGTGGGGCGAAGGACAGTGTGAATGTGAAAGCTGTCTGCACACCTTCATCTGCCTTCTGGTTCAGTCCAGCCTCCTCCAAGAACACCACAACTCACTGGTGTCCCAAAGTGGAGTACACATAACAGCAGAACAAGATGACTTGTGAAGTTCAGAAGAAGGTATTTTTTTTGTTTGTGTTCATTATTAAAATCATCTTCTGTTATCACAGATGATACCAGTTTTCCACTGATTTCTTTTCAAAATAAGGTACAAAAGGTGACTTATAGAAAAAAATTAAATCCATGACCACATGCGTAACCTACCAAGTAAGACAAACATGGCAGGAGTGTTATGCAAGTTTGCTGAGGTCTGGGAAACCCAGATTGAATCTGTCTTATTTGGGACATGGGGAGATGAGACTCTCAGAGGCTTCTCCAAGAACTCAACCTGAATTTTGGATGAGCTTGGGTCAACTGAGTTATCTACAGGTCGGGCTCTTCTCACACAGTGTCCCTTTAATTGAGCGGGTGGTCACATGCTGGGGCCTGAGGGGCGATCATAGAAGCCCAGCTCTTGCTTTCTTCCCTCAAGGATTTATAAAGAATGGAGTGGAGGTCCCATGAAATGGAAATGCTCGCTGACATACTCAAGGTATGCAACCATGCATATCTAAGTGCTAAAATGTCCATCTGAAGTCTAAAGGTTTTGAGACACAGAGCCCAAATTGCCCATTGGCTATAATGACTAAGGAAGGCTTATAGAGGAGTTGAGTGCACACGGGATACGTCAGCAAGGAGGAGAGATTCAGAGACAGAGGGAGCAATATGGACTCAGGACTGTGACTTAACTTGGCTGCTCTTAAGGTTGATAGCATTCCTATCCTTGACCTTTCCCAGAGAGGTTCTGATTTAGTCCATCTGGCTCAAGTGGAAGTTAGCAGAGTCAGGGTAGGTTGGGGGGGGGTGTCCACAGGACCAGGCTGGAGCCATCGGGTGAGTCCTGACAAGTTTGCCACCTGGATATGGGTAGATTCTTGAGTTGTTGAATGGGATAGGTGCTTTCAGGGGAATAAATAAATAGGAAGGGATCTTCAACTCTAGTGAGACAACTAATCATTTTTTCATCTAACAGCTTTTGTTCAATCTTGTTGGCTTTATTTTCCCTACTCAAATTGACATCTTTGAAGCAAATCACATTGATCCTTAGGTTTGCACAGGACCTTTTAAAGGACCAATAGATGCTTTTATTTTTATTAGACTATTAATTCTCATTATCCTCCCTTCTAAGAAAATCAGAACGAGCTTTCCAGAAAACATTGGGAAGGATCCAGAAGCTTTGAACATGTATACTCTGTGTGGTAAGCAGAGCGCTCCTGGGTGGCAAGGGACACAAGACCTTGCTTGTATGGTACATGGTGAATAATGGGAGTGAAGATGCATTTTAATCTTTACTCTAGAAAGACTTGAATGGGGAACAAAACAGACAAGCATGCTATTCCAGTCAAGAGAATATCTAAGAGGAGTACACATGGGAATTAAGGAGATTACATGGCCACTTACCAGCTGTGCAACTTCAACCAGTAGCTTAATCCCTGAGTCTCAGTTTTTTCATCTGCAAACTGGAAGTGATAGTATCTACACCATAAATTTGTTGGGTAGAAATAAGTTAATTAACATGAAGGGCTTAAAACAGTGGCATATAATAGGAGTTATATAAGAAACTCTCAATAATGGCTTTGTTGATTTGAACTTGGTGAGAACAATGAGAAAAGAAAATTGTGTGGCACACATAATCAGAGTGAAAGTGGAGAGATGGAAGAGGATGAGTGTCGTGGCCATCATCAAGCAGACCTGAGTTGCCCTGACACCAAAACAATCTTTTGCAATGTTTGATGCTATGAACCCAAGGGTGTTGTGGAGGCAGATGCTGGCCAGCAGGAGCAGGAAGTCATGCTAAAACCTCCTGAAGAAGGGATTAGATTTCTCAGTGCTGGGACAAAAGGAAAATGATGTGAAAAGGCTGCTGGGGTCCCAAAGCCACTAGGGAACTATTATAGGTTGAATTGTGTTCCCTAAAAAAAACTGTTGAAATTTCTAGATACATATGACCATCCAAATTGAACCAAGAGATACAGAAAACCTAAACAGACAATAACAAGCAATAAGACAGAAGCAGTCATTAAAATTCAGGACCAGATGGATTCTCAGATGAATTATGTCAGACTTTTAAAGACAAATTAATGTTAATGATCCTCAAATTATTCCATGAAATAGAAAGGGATAGAACACTTCCAGATACATTCATAAAGTCAATATCACCTTCATAACCAAACCAGATAAGGACATATCAAGGAAACAAAACTACAGACCAATATCCCTGATGAATTTAAATGCAAAAATCCCTAATAAAATATTAGCAATCTGCATTCAAAAACACATTGTACATTACAATCAATTTGATTTCATTCCAGGAATGCAAGATTGGTTCAATAAATGCAATTCATCACAAAAATAGAATTAAGGACAAAAACTACATGTTTATCTCAATAGATAACAGAAAAAGTCTTGGACAAAATTTAACACCCATTCATGTTACATACAAACACTGAAGAGACTAGGGATAGAAGGATCTTATCTCATCATCATAAATACTGTGACAAACCCAAAGCCAACACCATACTGAATGAATGGGGAAAAGTTTAAAGAATTTCCTCCCAAATCAGGAACAAGATTCTCAGTTCACTCTTACTACTGCTATTTTGAGGTATGTGGGTTAGAGGCATGGGGATTGTACCCCGGGCATTTAACCACTGACTCACATCCCCAGACCTGTTTGTTTTCTACTTTGAGACAGGGTCTCTCTGAGTTGCTTAGGGCCTCCCTAAGTTGCTAAGGCTGGTTTTGAACTTGCAATCCTCGGGCTCCCAAGCCATTGGGATTACAGGTGTGTACCACTGTGCTGGGCTCACCATGGCTATTTTTTATATAGTTCTTGAAGTTCTATATAGAGCAATCAGGCAAGAGAAAGAAATAAAAAGATATGAATAGGAAAAGAAGAAGTCAAATTATCACTGTTTGCAGATTATATGATCCTGTACTCAGAAGACTCAAAAAACTTCACTAAAAGTCTTTTTGTCTTGATAAATAAATTCAGAAAAGTAGTAGGGCATAAGACCAACATATAAAAATCAATAGCTTTCCACTACACCAATAACTAACCTAATGAAAAAAAGTTGGGCAAACAATTCCTTTCACAATAGTCTCAAAACAAAAGAAAACAAAACCTGGAAATCAATCTAACCAAGGAGGTAAGAGAGCTCTACAATGAAAATTATAGAACACCGAAGAAAGAAATTGAAGAAGATATTAAAAGATGAGGAAACATCCTATATTTGTGGATAGGCAGTATTACTATTATTAAAATGGCCATATTACCAAAAGCAACCTACGGATTCAAATTCACTCTCCATTAAAGTTCCAATGACATTCTTCATAGAACTGGAAAAAGTAATCCTAAAATTCATATGGAAGAATGAAATATCCAGAATAGCCAAAGAAATCCTGAGTAATAAGAACAAGGCTGGAGGCATCACAATACTTGTCCTCAAATTGTATTACAATAGTAATAAAAAGAGCATGATACAAATCCCAATGGAATAGGACAGAGTAGAAGACAGAGAGATAAACCCACGCAGATATGATCATCTCATCTTTGACAAAGGTGCCAAAAACTTAAGGTGGAAAAAAGAAAGACTTTCTAACAAATGGTGCTGGGAAAACTGGATAACTACTTAGAGAAGAAGTAAACTATTTATCACCCCGCACAAAACTCAACTCAAAGTGGATGAAAGACCTAGGAGGTAAATCAGAAACTGTGTAACTGATAAAAGAAAACATAGGGCCAACACTCCAATACAGGTGCAGGCATTGACTTCTTTAATAAGACTTATAAAGTGCAAGAAATAAAACCAAGAATAAATAAGTGGGATGGCAGCAAATTTTAAAAGCTTCTGCATAGCAAAAAAAAAAAAACAAACAATAACATGAAAAGAGCCTACAAAATAGAAGAGATCTTTGCTGGTTACTCTATGACAGAGGATTAATATCCAGAATATACAAAGAACTTAAAATTTAACACACACATTCACTCAAACTAATCAATAAATGGACAAATGAATTAAACAGACATTTCTCAAAACAGAAATGCAAATGGCCATTAAATACATGAAAAAAATGTGCAATATCATTAATAGTCAGGGAAATGAAAATCAAAACTACATGAGATGTCATGTAGTCAAACATGTCAAAACAGTTAGAATCACAGTCATCAAGAATATAAATAATAATAAATGCCAGCAAGAATATGGGGAGAAAGAAACAATTAATGGTGGGACTGTAAATTAGTACTACTGTGAAGATCATTGTGGAGATTCCTCAAGAGACTAGAATGGGACCACCATATGATCCAGCTACTTTACTCCTTATTATTTATCCAAAGACCTGAAATCAGCATACGACCATGATACGTGTGTACCAATGTTTATGGCAGTACAATTCACAATAGCCAGGTTATGGAACCAGCTTAAGTGTCTGTTGACAGATACATGGGTAAAGAAAATATGGTATATCTACACATTGTAGTTCTACTCAGCTAGACAGAAGAATGAAATTCTGTCATTTATAGGTAAATGGATGAACTGGAGAACATCATGCTAAGTGCTCAGAAAGTCAAGGTTTGAGGGAGCCTGAGTGGTGTGAAGAGAAAGAGGCGAGAACGACCTCTGGATCAACCAAAGCTGCACTCTGCTGCATCCCTGTGTCCAGTACCTATGTCCTGCGACCATCACCATCATGCCCAATATCACTATGCTGAATGCCAAAGGAGATAAAGCCAAGTGAAGGACGAACCACAAAGAAGATCCACAAGGTTGTCTGCTAAACCTGCTCTTCCAAAGCCAGAGCCCAAGCCTAAAAAGGCTCCTGCAAAGAAGGGAGAGAAGGTATCCAAAGGGAAAAGGGAAAACCTTATGATGACAAAAATGGGAATAACCCTGCAGAAAATGGAGATACCCAAACACACCAGGCACCGAAAGCTAACGGTGCCATTGCTGCCAAAGGAAGTGTATGCATTTTTGATAACTGGGTCCTTCTGGTGACTGTACAGTTTGAAATACTATTTTTATCAAGTTTTATAAAAATGCAGAATTTTGTTTTACTTTATTTTTAAAAAAGCTATGTTGTTAGCACACAGAACACCTCATTGTTTTTTGAGAGGGAAGGAGCATATGTCACTAGTAGAATGTCTCCAAAGCTGGACTCCTGTGGGGAACACCTTTCCCTGCCATTTTGAGAGACTTTCTCTTGGCTCCCAAGAGAAGGGACTTCCTGATATTGGCATACATAGCCACCTTGGCACAAACGCCTTGCAGTATGGAAAAACCGAAATTCATCTTTATGTCCTTCTCTCCCTCTCCACCAACAGCATAGACTTAATGTCCCTAAACTCAGGCAAGTTGGGACCTGACTCCCAACAATTGGTTTTACCAGTGTGTCAGGCAATCTGGACTTTCCAGTGACATCATTGAGATAGTGTTCCTCAGAAAAGCAGTAGTTCCTTTTTTAGATTGTGGACCTTAAGACTGATAATTTTGTCATTTTCTGAAAGTCAGGGTTAACTCATGAAAAGTTGTTAAACAACATGCTAAACGTGAAATGTCAACACTCACTTTAAATTTTCCCTATTCAGAGCATCAAATGAAGACTTCATTGGGCTTTATAGTAGCTTTCTAATTTTGGTGTCCATCCAAGAAGGGAATTTGAAAGTTGTTGTATACTGTTAATGATTGTCTGCCTGAAATACTATGGCTATTTATGAAAATTATCTTTAATAAAGCTGGATACAGTTTGGATTAGGAAAAAAAAAAGAAAGTCAAGGATTGAATGTTTTCCCTCACATGTGGAAGCTACAGAGAAGCATAGAATTTTACAAAGGTGTGATCTCATGAAAATAGAATGAAGATTAGTAGAGGAAGGATAGTGGATCAAGGGGGATGGAGGAAGGAAGGGAAAAGGGGAAGAACTAGGGAATAAAATCAATCACCTTATGTTATATGCTTGCATGAATATACAACAACAAATCCCACTGTAATGAGTAATTATAATGCATGAATGAAAAAAATATATACATATACTTGGAAATAAATAAAAAGAAGACCAGAAGAGAAAATGAAGGGACAGGCAGAAGGGGCAAGGAGAGGAAAAGGGGAAGTACTGAGGAGTGAATTGAAGCAAATTATGTTATGTGCATATGAATGTCACAATGAGCTCCACTGATACATATAATTATAATGCACTAATAAAAACATTGAGAAGGGACCTCAGGAAAATAGAAAGGAGACCAGTTGAGCTGAGGAAAGTGTTGGGGGAGTAAGGAGGGGAGCGAAAGGGGAAATACTGAGGAATGAAATTGATGTAATTATGCTATGGGCCAGTACAAATATGTCACAATGAATCTCATTATTATGTGTAATCATAATGCACCAATAAAAATATAAGATCATAAAAATTCTTAAAAGTACATTATTACTCTGTCTCTTCACCAGACTCACATGATATGGCAATAAACTTACAATGTTAACCTGCAAAAGAATTTTTTTTTAATTATATGTATATATATGGAATTTCTAATTCCCAGTACCTGTGAAGGTGACCTCCTGACCTCATTTTGATATAGGGTCTTTGCAGATAGAATTGAGGTAAAACGAGATTATAATGGATTAAGTTAGGCCCTAATCCAATAGCTGGTATCCTTACAGAAGAGGGAAATTTGGGCCTACACACACAGAGGACACCTGGTGAGTATACAGAGATAAGGGGGCACCACGTGATGGCGGAGGTAGAGAATGAAGTGTAGCTACAAACCAGGGAATGTCAAGAACTGCTGGCAACCACCAGAAGCTGGGCATAGGCAGAAAGGATTTTTTCCTAGACAGAAACAGCAAAAGATAAATTCCTATTGTTTCAAGCATCCAATTATGGTGCTTCATTACAACGGTCCAAATAAAGTAACCCAAGAGCTAAATGTGAGATCATAGAAGAGCTGACAAGCAGTTCTCTTAAACTTTCAAACATAGCCCAGGATCCAAGAAGAAATTAAACATTAAAAAATATTTCATTGGAGCTGGGGCTGTAGCTTAGTGGTAGAGTGTTTGTCTATCATGCATGAAACCTGGGGTTCAATTGCCAGTACTGCAAAAAAAGAAAAAAGAATCAACGGTCTTGATATGGATAATAAATATATGTGCTTGGAAAACTATCTGCCCATCTTACTAAGTAGGATCACAAATCAGGCTATAGAATAGCATGTAGAATAGGACCCTGCCCTTGTTAAATTACACAGGTAAAACTGGAAGTCTTGAAGGATAAGTTGTGTTGCTACTGCTGATGGAGTCTAAGAATATAGCAATTTTGTTTTATCCTCTGCCTCCTGATTTTAAACACAGTTTATATTTTAGAACTATGGATTCTCTCAAAAATCAAAATTTATTTTCACCGAGGAGAGAAAAGACTAAAAAATTCTAATGAGTTTTCTTTCACATTTGAATCAGGCTGTGACAAAAAGATAGCTACCGGTGCTGCTGTAGAAGGCCAGTCTGGAAGTTGTGTGAAATTTCTGAATCAGAAACTGAGACAAGGAGATTTTCTCATCTGTTTTCAGGGATTCATCCCCATTCTTCCAATACAGCATCAGATCTTCATCTGTATATGCATCTTTGGGGAGAAGAAAATAAATTAAATCGGATGCCTTTGTTTCTGGGTGGTGTGCAGCAATAGAGTAGTCCTGCACCTGCCTGAGCAAACAGTTCTTATCAGGCAGTGCACAGATTGGGTAGGGAATAAGGTGTGGAATAGAAAACATTGATACTTACAGCTCTCCAGCTCCAAAGAGCAGGTCTGGGAGTCCAGGGGAAAGTGGCTGAAGTCCATGTTGCACATGGCAGTGACGGTAATCCTGCACAACCCAGATATGACAGTTGACTTGTGCAGCAAGCTATTGGCTCATGCACCCGCCCAAAGTAAGAAAGACACAGAACATGACCAAGAGCAGCTGCCTCCTTGTGTTTATTTCAGAAGTTTGGTTACATAGATGTCTAACTTAAAAAAACCTTAACTTCTAGAGTTTGGTCTTCTCTGACAGGTGTTATTAGTGCTCTGCTGGATCCCCTTTATTGGGCTGCTGCACCCCTTCTCTAGCCAAGAGGAGGGGTGTTGACTACTAGTGGCCCACACCTGCACCCTTCTCTGGGCACTGCCCTCAACCAGCAGGGATGCCTACCCCAGAGGAGCCTGGGAGATTAGCATGCCCCCTCCTTCACCCAAGACCAGGAAGTATCTAGTTTTATTATTTAATTCTGGTGAACTATAAAATCAGGCAAGTAAGATATGGAAAAAGATGGGTTAGTTAATCCAGAAGCCAATCTATAATGGCACTCAACAAACAATAGTTTTTGCTATTATTAGTATTTTATTATTTATTACCAATCAATTAGAATAGTACACTCTCAAGGATGGAATGTACGTAGGTCATTGTCTCCAACAACTCAATTAGGCCAGAGTAGTTTTCTAAGCCATGCTTAAGACCCCCAGTGATATGGAGGTCTCCACCTACTGGGTGGCCTTTTCATCTCTGGACAATTCTGACTGGCATCGGAAGGCTCCTGCCATCCCACAGATCACAGCGACAAACTCTTCCAGGCCAAAGGAACTGATCATACATAGTGGAATGGCACTGGACAAGAAACCATGGCCCCATGGACACTTGCCTCATGCTGTACAGCACATGACCATCTGGGAACACCCTCAGCATGATGTTGTCAGTGGTGGTGTCGTGAATGAATGACCTTTTGGAGTGAACAAAGAACACATCTGGGACCCAGATCTTCTTCACCAGCCGTCCATCAAAGGTCATGCTCTTGTTGCTGGTGCTGGGGAAGGCCAGCCTCTCATCCTTCCAGTAATGCCGCAGGTACAGAGTCATGGTGAAGTCCTATGGGAGCCAGGGGCAAGACCAGACTGAAATGGTTCAGAGAGCTTCCTTCCTTAGAATTCTGTTGTTCTCCACTGTATCAGCTTCCAGAGTCGGGGGGACAGTTCCACAGCCCTGAGCACCATAGTCAATGTGATGGCGCTGCTGCAGATGAGAAGGGCTCATTTTTGTGCCTCGTAAAGTTGGAGCCCAGGAGACAGAGCATCCCACAAAGAAAAATTACAGCTATGATGCTGTCATCCTGTCCTGCTGGCCAGGAGCAGGAATTTCCTCCAAAGCTCCGTTCTCACTCACTAGACTCTGAGTACATGGCTTTTAACCTATCTGGCTAACCAGTTCATTTTGGCATGGTGGCCTGTTTCAGAAACCTAAACAGTCAAGGGTTCCTCTTAGAAAGATTTCTACCATTAGATTTCTCCCATCATTGAAGGCAGAATTGTGTCCTGACTATCACTGAATCCCTGTTCATCATTAGATGTAATGTCTGGAAAAGCATATGTTAGGTACTCAATAAATATGTGTTAGATGGAAAAAAGGGAAGATGAATGGATGGGGACACAGGCAACTGCACACCTACTATAATTTCAATTCTAAAGCTTATCCTGTTAAAAATTGTCTCCTTGGGCTGGGGATGGAAGTCAGTCATAGAGCAGTTGCCTAGCATAGGCTGGGCCCTGACTTTTGATTCCCATCACTACAAAAATAAAAATAAAGTATCCCCTTGTCTGTATAATTGATGGTCAAACCCAAGAGTTTGGTTCTTATACCATGGCCAGAGATAGGTCACAAGATGCAAATGGAAGCAAGTGGAGGAAGGATAGAGAAGAGAGTGAATGATGGTGGGCCAAGAAGAAGCCCTAGGAAGGGAAGAAAGAAAGAACAGGCACAGAGATTGGGCTTACGTGAAAGTCTGTTCCTAGACTGACCATCACTTGCCACAAATTCTTCCTCCATACATGAAGAAACAGCCAATTATGTGAGGAGGAGATGTGAGCCAAATGTCCCTTCTGGGTCTCACAGCTAGAGACCATGCTCTGAGGGACATTGCTCAGGGGGAGTGCCACATTGTAAATTCACAAACATGTGCAAGGCCAGCTTGGAAGTACCTACCTACCATTTTCTTTGTGGTGGAACAACTGGTGGATTGTTCTAAGACAAGCAAGTCATTTTGGACACTTCTCTCTGAGGTCCTCAGTCACACTTTCATAAGAGCCTTCACATCCAGAGTGGACATCTGTACTGATTCAGATTTAAAGCACCCAGGCTGGGTCCAAACCCAAATGGTTCTGGAGCTGAACCTAACTGTTGGATATACAAAGGATTTGGCAGTGTGCACTGTAGCATCTTGGAGACTGTCACATTCATACCTTTCACACCTGGATACCCTCCTTTCCAGATGCTGGAGCTATGAGGGTGCACAGCATCAGTATCGTATCATCCTTGCTGTGCTGGGTCCAATAATAGCCAGGGAAGGGATGGGGAGTAGTGGTGGAGCACATGCTCAGCAAGTGCAAGGCCCTCAGTTTGATCCCCAGCACCAGTAAAAAAACAAACAAACAAAAAGGGAGCCAGGGAAGCCTCCTCCCTTCATGGATATATGAGGAAACCCTCCCTCACTTTCTTTCATTCCATACATGTGTTGAGAGCCTCCATAGGTCCCACAGTCGGCTAGGCTTAGAGATATGGGGGCAAAAAAACTGAAAGACAAGTTCCTGTACTTGTGGAGCCTATAGTCAAATATAGGGGATGACCAATAAACATGACATCTCCTCCAAAATAAATTGATAGCACAATTTCAATGAATGATATGAGCTAGAGGGAAAAACAGGAAACTTTTCGACCAGGTAGTCAGGGAAGCTCTTTAGAAAAAGCCTTATCTCAACTGAGACCTAAAGGATAAAGAGATGCCTGAGAGAGCCAGAGGGAGAACGTGTATGAGGAAAGCAGTAGTTTGCAAACTAGAAATGCAGAATGGAAAAGAGACAAGGTCGGACACTGAAGGGAAGGCTCCTCTCCAAACCAAGGTCTTGCAAACAGCCAGGAGGCGTCTGTATGGGGTTAGTCAAGAAACACAGTGGAGGGCATTTCTGTGGAGTGCATGGGGAAGCTGTACACACAGCAGGAACTGAAAATCTAAGAACTACAGCCTTTCAATCAAAATGGTCATCTGACCACTCTCAGCATTTGAGAAGTGTGTTGAAAAAGCAAAGTCCTGGGCCTCAACCCAGAGATTCTGAAACCAGTGAGTATGTAGTGGGGCCCAGAAACTATAAGCTATTTCTACCCATAAAGCTTGAGAGACTTTACTGCATCTAGGCCAATGCCCAAGCCCACATTTGGTCCCTTCCAGCTCCTGCCCTGCCCTCTCAGGCACAGCCTGCAACATCAAAGCTACCAACCCACAGGCTCTCACAGTAACTCAGCTATGGACCCTTCCCTGGGGCTACTGGCCCAGGATATTGCATACCATGTCCACTTCAGAGATGCTGTCCAGACTCTCCACCTGCACGTCCACACCCACTGGGATGGCAGGGCCTGCAGAAGAGCAGAGAGAGCTGGTTAAGGCACACTCCTGGTGGGAGATGGCTCCCACCCACCTCCCCAGGGAGCCAGGACTGCAAAAGTAATGAGGCAGTGGTTCAGAATCTCCTGTGGATTTTCGTTCTAGTTCCAGGTATGTTAGAGGCTGAGCTTTCTCCACTGAGGCCTGGGACTGTGTCTGCTTTAGGTGCCTTTCTTGGTCCAAGCTTGGTGTTTAATTTATGCTTGTTGGATGAATCAATGAGCTGAATCACTACCTCCTGTATCCTAGGGATGTCTCTATGGAGTGAAGGTAATAAAACAGCTCTAGTGTCTGAGTGGAGACCCTGGTCATTTGTCCTCCTGTAAAAATCCAAGAAGGATAGAACAAGTCCTGAGAGCCTCTGACCTGAGTTTGGCTTATCTGTGTGCTGAGATTTGGATTCATTCAACTACTGAAATTCTACCTACAGAGAATCTATCAAGTAGTTGAAGTCCTGCCTTCTGGAAACTTTCAATCTAAAGTGAGATAAGGTCTCTATGCAAAGTTAAATCACAGGGAAAGACAATAATCTATGTGATTCTGAAATCTTTTCAGGTGAGATAATATAGCACCTAAATGAATATTCAATTTTATCTGGATCCTGGAAGGATTTCTAAATCCATAAACCCATGGATTTATCTATGAGGTCCTGTCCTTTTAGTTGAGCTGGATGATGGGCACATTGGTAAATTCACTTTGTGACAGTTTAGTGAGTTGTACACTTATAATTTGAGTATTCTTCCTTATGTCTGTTATGCTTCAGTAAAGTGTTTTTTTTTTATCTTAACATTTAAAAATTTAGATTTAAAAAAACCCTCAAAACCTGTGTCTGTCAAAACATATGAACAAATGCCATTATAGTCACAGTCAAAAACATATTCCTGGAAAGAGTCAGTGGCAGCTTGTGGGAGAGGCTTTTGGAGAGAGGAAATTGTCTGGCAGCCAGTCCAGCTGCACCCAGGACCTTGAACCCTGACCAGGAAGTGCAGGAATAGGACATTTTGACCTGAACTGCTGTGATCTGAGCCCAGAAAACCTTAGGGAACAGGGGAGTCTGGGTCTCAGGGAACGAGAAGAATTGGAAGGGACTTCAACTGAGGCCAGGGAAAGAGATCAGAGATACTGACAAAGTAAGATTTAGAAGGTTCATTCCTCAATTCCAGCCCAAATGCAAGAAGTAGCCCAGGGCATTGGATGAGCTCACTGACTCTCTCCTAATCCCACCAGACCCCATAGGTTTGCTAATACTTTAAAAACCAATATTAAAATTTGGGATTTTGATTGAGGCTGATGGAATGGAAAAGTATTTCAGTTATTACTATGGGATTGAGAGAATATTTTCTGTGATCTTAAACATGAAAGCACATGAGTTACATTGCTTTGTTCTCTATTTTTCTTTTTCCTTCTCATATAAATCTGAATGTAAACTGATCTTTCTAGTTTACCATGTTCCTCAATTTATGGTTTAGGTCAGGGCCCATGAGAAAGCCCTATTCCAATAGCCATGCTCTCTACTTATTCCAGGCTGCAGGGGTGCTTTGAAAGTTCCAGAAGTGGAATGGTAAGGGTGGGAGGAGCTCCTCCTCAGGGCCAACCAGCCGGCACCCACTCTATCCCCCAGGAGGGGGGATACTTACAACTGGAGGCCAGCCTGACACCTGGACCCTCTTCCCCAGTATTCAGATCTCCACTCAGTGCTGAGGTTCCCAACATGGCCATCAGAGGTCAGGGGCTGGTTAATTACCTCGTCTTCTGATCTTTCCTCAGTCTGAGATATTAAAACACCACTGTGCTCTGTGCAAAGTGTGCCATACTCTCTATCTGGTCTCCTTTACCCTCTCATTCCCTTCCTCTGGAGTGCCAGGTGACCTGCTACATAGTTCCAAGAGCCAAAGGGAAGAAACAGGATAGCAATTGCCTTCTTTGGATAAACTTTCAGTGACCTGGTTTTCAGATAATGTGCACAGTGTTTGACCAGGAGCTGTTTGGCTCAGGACATTTTCCAGTGCCTCTCTGTCTCAGGACCTAGCTCGCTCCCACACCTCCAGTTGCCCTTTTACGAGGAAGTTTGGCAAAACCTCTCGGGAAGATTTCAGTGTTCTCAAGATAACGCCCACATGGAGCAGGTCAAGATCTCATGTGCTCTGGGTTGTTGTAGGCAAACCACCTTAGACCATGTGTATTCAGGAGACTTGAGAACTGCTTTGAGTTTAATCTTCATAAGAATTTAGAAAAAGATACCAATGTCGCTGCCCTCCATGATTTAAGCTTTGCCTCTAACCCATACAACAGCTGGGATTGTCTGAGTTTTCCACTTTGTGGCCCTTCCCAGCCTACTTTGGGAATAGAGTCTTCTGAATTAATGGTTTTTCTTCTTCCATTAACAATTTTATGTTTTGAATTGGGCTGAGTCCTTTCAGAAGGAAAGTAGTCTAATTAAACTAGGTGTTCATGACTTGGTCACTTAGCACTGTTACGAGTTTTTTGTTGTTGTTGTTGTTTTTTAAGTTGGGTTCTAATGAGCCAACTTAAAGTCCATGGGATTTCAGGTAGGATAACCAAAGAGGTGGCAAATTCAAGGCAGCATAAGGGAAATGCATAATTAGCAAAGGGCTCTCCTCAGTTCCATTCTTAACCATCATTATTATCTTCTCATGATCCTAGAAAGCACTGTTAGGACTCAACTTGTGAATGAATATTTATGTCATTGACTCTTCAAGAATCTACATGAAATAGAATTTTCAGGTAACTAAAATGAAAATTTGCCAACAGGCATCCTACCCCAAATGAAGGTGTCTTTCAAGAAGAAGGCATGTGATCTGAAGGGGAAAGCTAGACATGTGAGAAGGAATAAAAAAAACAACACAAATAGTAAATACATGCAAAATTCTAAAAGAACATCAATTATGCAAAACATTACTGATAATTTATTGTGCAATGGAAAAGCCTGAACTAAAATACATTACAGAAATAGCTTTTAAGCAGACAAGGGCATAAATGGCCTAAGAGTGTTCTGAGGTCTTTGCATTGTCCAGAACAGTAGAAGCAGCTGATTAACATACAAATGTGATAAGCCAAGGACTCCTCATTCTGTTTTCAGGAGAACCACCAGGTAATGGTAAGAGTTTGTACCTTCTAAACAAAAATAGGAATAATAATAATAAAAAAATGACCAGTCAAAAAGGAAAAAAGGCAGAGAGAAAAAAAAATGAATATAGAGTTGGTTAGATAGTAGAAAGGACAGAGTAGAATAAAAATTTATTATATATTGTGCTATAAAGCAATTTCAACAAATTTCAAAGCACTAGAATTTATATAAGGTGTTATCTCAACATTCATTAGAAAATTAAAACATAGTGAGCTTTCAGGAGCCAATCTGGAAATACACACCCTTAATCCTGAAAAAGAGATACTGAACAATTATCGCACCCCCGAATGATTTGGACTTTAGCTCCATTCGGATAATGAGGTGTGACTCCAGAAGTAAGCGTTACCCAGTGGGGTTGAGTTACACTCACCTGTTCCTTTGTAATCCTACCCCTTGCCTCATTTAATAGCTTCTCCCCAATAAAACCAGGTTCAAGGCATGCTCCTTTTCTTGCCTGCTTTGCCTCCTTTTTGGGAGCTGGGTCAGAGGAGCAATCACAGAACCCAAAGGAAAAGGTATTTCTCTGTGTGTCATTATTTCGTGAGTGTGTGTGTGTGTGTTTATTTTTTTCCATACATTTGGGAATTAAGAAATATACTTTTGGGGCTGGGGATGTGGCTCAAGCGGTAGCGCAACTCGCCTGGCATGCACAGGGCGCTGGGTTTGATCCTCAGCACCACATAAAAATAAAGATGTTGTGTCCACCAAAAAACTAAAAATAAATATTAAAAAATTCTCTCTCTCTTAAAAAAAGAGAAATATACTTTTGAAATACCCATGGGTCAATGAAGAAATCATAATACAAACTAGAAATTTTTAGCTAAATTATTTTTTTTAAAAAAACATACTAAAATTCATGGGATGTAGGCTAAGTATTTCTTACACAGAAATTTATATCCTTAACTGAGAATATCATAAAAGAAGAAATGATTCGATTTAACAAACTAATCACCCTTCATAAGAAGTTAGGAAAAGAATAGCAAATTAAAGTAGATGGCAGGAAATTATAAAGGTAGAATAATAAGCACTGAAATAGAAATAAATATACAACTAAGAGGATTGATAAAGCCAAGTATTGGTTCTGTGAAAGAATAGATAAAATTCTGATAAGATCAATCTTCCAAGAAAGAAGAAAAGCAAAAATAGCTAGTGTAGGGAATAAAAAGGACATCACTGTGCAGAAGCCATAAAAAAAGACAAAAAGAGGTTATTCTAGAAAAGTTTTTGTCAACACTCTTCAAATGTGGATGATATGGACAAATTCCCAGAAACATACAACCTGTCAATCGACATCAATAAGAAGCCAAATGTAAAAACGTGCAAAGTCCTACAACTATTTTAAAAATTGAGTCTATAATTAAAAATTTCAAAGTAAACAACAGGGCCAGATGACTGTTTTGCACATGGACCCTAAAGTGAAGGTAGATAGGCCCTTGTGCAAGATTTAGAAAACTTTGAAACATGAAAAGAAACCAAAGAAAACTTAAATAAGTGGAGAATACATCAAGTTCATGGACTAGATATTCAATATTGTAAAGATATTAATTATCCAATATTTATTATCCAAAAGGCTCGGGGCACTTCCAATCAAAATTCCATTAGACTTTCTTGTGACAAAGAGATCATTAAGAAATTAAAATGTCTAAGAGAAATCCTTCTTGAAGAAAAAGAAGGTGAAGCTTTGTTCTACCAGATGTCAAGATTTGCAATAAAGCAACAGTAATTAAGATAGTAAAAGACTGGCATAGAGATGGACAACTGACAAGTGGAACAGAATGGAGAGTTCAGAAACAGACACACAGCCTCAAGGATGCTTAAGTGTGTATCACGGCAGAGCACTGCAGAAAAATTAGTGTCTGTAATAACCAATTCTGGGACAACTGGCTATCTGTATGAAAATTATCCAAAATACAAAATAGCTCCAAGTGGACTGTAGATCCAAATGTGAAAGGCAAAAACAAACTCCAGAACATAACACAAGAAAATATATTTCTACCTCAGGCTTATAATATATCCATATACTTATTAATGAGGACTCAAAAAGCATAACTATGAGGCAAAGACCAATGATATAAATTAAAATTCAGACTGCCTAGCAAGGCCTGGGGTTGTAGCTCAGTGGTAGAGCACTTGCCTAGATTTGTGAGGCACTGGGTTCAATTCTCAGTACAATATAAAAAATTATAAACAAATAAAAAAGTTATTGTGTCCACCCAGAACTAAAAAAAAATGTTTTAAAAAAAAGAGTACCTACCAAAACTCATGCTTGTTGTTAGGAGTCAGGATAACAGTGAGGGGATGTTGACTGGTAAGAGAAGGGGGCTTTTCTGGAGTTCTGGAAACAGTATTTCTTAACATAGGTATTGTTAAATGAATGTGTTCTCTATTTTATAATTCACTAAGCTATACATGGTCACTTTTCGGTATACATATTATGGTTCACTGAAAATTTTACATTGAAAAAAATCAAGAATTTTATGAAAAGGCACCATGAATAATTTAAAAAGCAAATGATAGAGTGAGATATTTGCAATACCTAACTGACAAAGGGCTTATATACAGAAGACATAAATAACTCCTAAGTGTTCTCTTAAGAACAAGTCAGAAAACCCAACACAAAAATAACAGAAACATAAAACATATCAAGACTTGAACAAGCACTTCAAAAAATAATAAATACACAATAAACATATGAAAAAGTGCTCAACCTCATTAATAACTCCATTAAAACTGCAATGAGACATAATTACTATATGCCAACAAAACTGGCTCAAATGCAAGAGTTACACTAAGTGTTGACAAGGATGTAGAGTAATTGAGACTCTCATACACTGCCAACAGGGGTGTGAATTGGCACAATCACCTTGGAAAACATTATCCAGCAAAATGAAGGACATACATAACCCATGACCCAGGAATTCCATGTTTAGAAATACACGTGAATAAGCACCAGTAGATATACACAAATTATTCACAAAATAGTATTTGTAATAGTTAAGAGTTGAAAATTTCCATAATGTCCATCTATACTATAGGATAAATATACTCTGGTATAGTCATACAATGGAATATTATAGTTACATGCAATGATGTGGATGACTCATCTCATGGATGAATGTATAGTATGATAAAATCCCAAAACATACCAAACTAAATAACGGGGTTGAAGCTTGCACACATTGGCAAGAAGATTATAAAGAAAAGGGAGAAAGCTATGGAATAACTGGAAGAACATGTGGAGAAGTTGTGGATCTATGGGGAAGTATAATAGGGTAACCAGCACCAAGACAGAGCACGGTCCTACTCAGGAGGTGTGAGCTGCCTGAGGAAATAAAAGGTCTGAAATAATCAGTAAGAAAAAAGACAAAGCCGAATATTAGATTTTAAAAAGTGGAGCATCTGATGGTCTTCCAGTCCTAATAGGAACTGGAACTAAACAACTGAAAAAGGCCCCAATTCTTTATCTAAAGGGGAGTACATCAAAGGCAGGGGTAAGGTTTCAGTGAGAGGAGTCTTGCTTCGGTGCTTGTTTCTCATTGTGGCCAGAGGTCTTGCAGTAAGCAGATTGATTGGTGTTTGGCAGGCTACACCCATCTCTAGGAGTCTATTTGACCTAAGGTTGTGAGCTAAGACAGGGGCCAGCATGATCCCTGGGCATTCTTAACTCGGGAATTTCAACCCAGGAGTTCCCAGAGGAGTGGCCTCCCTGCCTTAATGGCTCAAACAAACCATAATTTATATATATCCTCCAACAGGGAAGATAAATACTTTCTCTGGATCTGAGTGTTGGTTATCTGGTGTTTCCTTTATTTTAAGCCATTTCCCTGTGCACTTATTTAGAGCCCCCTTTTCAATGCTGATTACAGCTCAAAGTAATAAGAAATAGTAAAAAAAAAAAAAAAAAAAAGTAACACCTATTAATATTTTAAATTTAAGCAGTGGCTTAAATTTTTGTCTGAGCCAATGAAGGTAAGAGGGCTTAAGAAACTCTTCAATCTAGTCAGACTGCCCAGGTCTTAGCTTACATGCTATTTTCTTCCCAGAGGCTTCCCTGACACTCTAGGTGAAGTTTCACAGCCCCTCATGTGCTAGTCAGTTTCCATCACTAGAACCTGTGATATTGCCTGTGATCATCTACTTATGAAGAGAAAAGAGTGGTTTTAGCTCCCAGGTTTGGAGGTTCCTGTCTATGATTGGGAAGACATATTGCTTTTCGGCCTCCAGTGAAGGGACAGCACATCATGGGGGGGAGCCTGTGTTACAACAAAACCATTCCCCTTAGAGCTCGGGAGAGAAACAAAGAGGAAGAGACCAGGGTCCCACAGGGCCCTTCAAGGGCATGTTCCCCTCCAGGGCCTCCCAATAGGCCCCAACTCTTAAAGTTTTCTCCACCTCCCAATAGCACCCAGCTGGGGAATAAGTCTTTAACACATGGATCTTTGTGAGACATTCAAGATCCAAAGAATAGCACCCCATAATACTCATCCATTTCCTTCATCAACCTCCAGAAAAGGCTGTTCCTCTAATTTGTCCACCTCCAAAATCTGTACTCATCAGAACCTCCTCTCTACCCACCCGCCTGACTTCTACCGGCACACACCAGGGAGGGGCAGGCAGTTGGCATGCCATTATTGACAGGACCTTAGGCCAAGGGTACAGAATTCCTCTAATGATATGGGAGGGA